GACACCAGCTACCGCCTCCCAACGCTCTCTTGCAACTACATCGCACGACGACCCTATTCAAATAATTCACAACTCTTGTATGAAGGAGGTAGAGGTACTCGTTCTAGCCCCTTCTGGGCTTTAAAAGCATTCCATGCCCTCTCATGTGAAGCCTGTGGGGTCCGCGACCCAAAGACCTGGGGGGTAGGACCCCGAAATGAGTACGTGTGGGGCCGGCCGCGAGCCATATTCCATCTACAGTCGAAAGCTAGAAGTGTCGCAAAAAACTAATCTTCTGGCGAAAGGCGAACTACTAAAGTGGCAAACAAGTTCAGAGAAAAAGCTACGCTTGTAGCTGATCACTAGCAATCCTGAGAAAATTTGCGAAAGGGTTTGCAGTTGCACATAGAGAAAGCAGAAACAGGATGGAGCGCTCTATCCCTTTACATTTACTCACTCCCAGATCAAAATTCTTGATCTATCCTAGAATTCTCTTGACCCGTCCACGCGGCAAAAATAGCCATCTCAACAGCCGACAAAATTCTTTACGGGGCTTCGGTGTGTTACCAGACTAAGAGCTCGAAGCTCATTTAAAGAAAAAACCCAAAACGGCCGGACTCTCGCCGGCATATGCCCCACCAGGACCGAGTATCCCCTCCGCAGTCTTACAGTGCAACGCTCAGACCCCTATCCCCGCTGGGATTGCCCGCTCTGGCGAAAAACACGCAAACTCTCCCCGCTGGGAGACGCCCTCTATGGCGGTGTGCCCCACTGCACCTCAGAAAACCCGCTTGTCCGCATGGGCACAACCATCTATCGCAATCACTTGCAAAAACTCCCCCCGCTGGGGGTGGCCCTCACTGGCATTGCCCTCCTAGGCCCACCACAACCCCACCAGTCCCGCTAGGGCCGATTCCTACGTGCACAAAAATTTTTCCTAAAACCCGTCCCCCAGACGCACTGAACGATGACTCTACATCCCTTCCCCCCACTCTAGGGGGGAAGCACGCAAACGGGCATTTGCTTCTACGGATCTGCCAGCCGACACAGTGCGAACGGGGGACCCCAAATCCCAGTCACTCCACGAAAATGGTCTACCGGGGTAGACATGTCAATAATTCACAACTCTTGTATGAAGGAGGTAGAGGTACTCGTACTACATACAAGCATTACAAACTTCTTCTTTATCCCGCGAACGTAGGGAAGTTTTTCAACCACGAAGCTTGGTCGCTCCACAACTCGAAACCCAGATGATATTTACAGGTAATTGGCATCCTATATACAACGCGATTTTTCGCTGTTGAAAACACTCTCAAGGACCAATACGACAATACTTACATGATGAACAACGAAGCAGTGCATCTCCACCGAGGGACGTGGAGAAAATACCATCGATCTTCAGCAACCATCGACATTTAGGAAAGCGACGTTACAAGTGGTGAACTACCACTAAGGCGTTGTAAGTACTATATTCGGTCATTTCCGAAAAGCTCACTGTCACTGGCTCGCCTGCGCCAACTATCTGAAATATGACTTCCACCGCCCACATCATCCTACAGCTACAGTGTATCGCTTTTTACATCTTTCGTGTCTGGGGAAAAGGTAGAGAAGCCAAGAAGATCACGGCGACGCTCTAAATTATAATGACTTACTTACTAGGTACATTTCAGTAGTAGCTGCTGCTGCTATTTTTGTTTTAGACTTGGACGAACTCCGTTCCTTCATTTTTGTCCATCAACATTTATTGTGTTGAGAAAATACATTTGCATGCGTAAAGTCACCTCAAAACCAAGGATGAGCCCACTAGTACAGGGCCCCCAGTTGTAGTGATTTTGGTTTAATTCGTTGCACCGAAACCAGTATCATCGCCAAAACTGAGAAGGTGCCGAGAATCAAAATGAACCACTTCATTCCGACCCGCCCGACTCGGAGCAGTATGAAGATGGAGAAAAAACTGCAGTGCCAGCAACAGTCAGCCCCCGCAGGTTGTTTTAGTTTTTACAGCGGCGCACGACATAACAAGGCGAGATGCCCTGGGCGGTTGGGTACAGCTGCAAAAACAAAATATTTACATTCCTGCTATCCAAAAAATGCAACTTTTACTTTGCGTCGAACGTGACGCACTTCCGGTGCAGCAGGAGCAGCTGCTGGCATAATTTCTAGACAGTGTCTACTTTCCTTACGCAGCCAGGTCGACCTGTTACCCGAGGTTTCGTTTTGTCGCCCGAAGAAGGAGTATGAGAGTGCGGCGCAACTATTCTTTTAGCTTTCCCACAATTCAATATGAAGGCATCGAATATGGCGTCGTCAAACTTGTATTTGCCTCAAGCTGTAAAAAATTTTCCGCGCGCCTTTTTTTGTATTTGATATCCATCATGTTGCACACGTATAGCCCCCCACTGTGTTGCACACCTAATGACCTAGTTAGCTTCTTCGCAGCCCTTCTCAGTGGCTAAAGACGGAGCTATCCGGCGCTGCTGCTCCACGGAGTTGCCTCGGAGTGCCCCTGCAGCTTGGAGGTGCTGCAGCAGGTCCTCTTGCAGTCCAGCCGCTAGACAATGGGCCTCAATCTGTGCAAGTCGGTCGGAGTCGAGGGCGCAAACGGAACCGGCCGCGGCTGCGCCTTCCCTTGTTTCTAAGTTGGCGCAACTGTGCGCGCGTGTACCGGCAGGCGCGCGCGCTTTTTGCCTTTGCGGCTTTTTCGTCAAAATGCGAAAAGCCCGAGAGCCTTTCGGGAAGGGTTCCCAGAGGGGTTCCGGGACCCCTTTTGGGGAGGGGTAGCACCATCGTGATTCGAAGAAAAATCAATAGGCTTTTTTTTAGGGTTCCG